TCGATAAACTTCTCAAAGAATTTCAGGATTTGTTGCAACCTCCCGACGAGAAGTTACCTTTTACTACCCAAGTCAAGGCAGATATTAGAGCTACCGGCGATGTTGCTATCTACAGCAAATCACTACTCACAAGCTTTGAAACCAGAAGTAAATAAACAAGTTGCAAAATTATTGAATGACGGAATTATTAGAAAATCAAGATCTCCAAACAATTCTTCAGTATGGATAGTACCAATGAAGATGGACGCTTCTAATGAAAAGAAATATAGAATGGTGATTGACTACAGAAAATTAAACTCTAAAGCAATCAGTGATAGGTATCCCATTCCAGATACCTCCACCGTCTTTGCAAACTTAGGTAAAAATGATTTTTTTACAACATTGGATTTGGCCTCAGGTTTCCACCAAATTCAGAAAAAGATATAGAAAAAAAAAACAAAATTTTCAATTAAAAAAGGTAAATACGAATTTGTACGATTACAATTTGGATTGAAAAATGCTCCGGCAATCTTTCAAAGACTAATGGATGATATCCTTAGAGAACATCTTGGAAAAATATGCCATGTCTACATCGATGATATTATCATCTTTGGAAAAACATTTGAAGAGCATATGAAAAATTTGAGAACTATTTTTGAGACACTAAGAAAAGCAAATTTTTTAATTCAGCCCGATAAGTCTGAATTTTTAAGAAAAGACGTAGAATTTCTTGGCTTCATCGTCTCAGAAGATGGCTTGAAGCCGAACATGAAAAAAGTACAGTGTATTCGTAAATATCCCCAACCAAAAAATTTGAAAGACATAAGAGCCTTTCTAGGACTCTCTGGTTATTATCGTCGTTTTGTGAAGGAGTACGCTAAAATTTACAAACCCCTTACAAAACTTTTAAGAGGGGAGGATGGCCGACGCCAAATATCGAAAAACCAATCAAAAAATACAACGATACAATTAGACGAACATGCAATTGCTTCATTTAATATACTTAAAGAAATTTTATCCTCAAACGATATTCTAGCCTTTCCAAATTTTGATAAGCCGTTCATCCTCACAACAGATGCCTCGGATAAAGCTTTAGGAGCTGTTTTGTCGCAACAGTTCCATGACGGTGAACGTCCAATCACATTTATCTCTCGCACTCTTTCTAGGACCGAAGAAAATTACGCAACAAACGAGAAGGAAATACTCGCTGTTATATGGGCCCTCCACACCTTAAGAAATTTTATTTACGGCGCAAAACTAAAAATTTTCACGGATCATCTCCCACTCACATTCACGTTGTCACCAAAGAACAACAACGCAAAGCTAAAACGCTGGAAATCCTTCCTTGAAGAACACGATTATGAGATGTTCCATACATCGGGGCCGGTGGTGTAGTGGTAAGCGTGATTACCTCTCACCCCAGCAGACCTGGGTTCAATCCCAGTCGGCGCCGCCGGGATGTTCTGAGGCATAACATCTCTGATCTCGCCTTCCTTCGGAAGGGAAGTAAAGCCGTTGGTCCCCGGTGCATGAGTTGATGGGTCGATAGGTAGGGTCCAGGTGTGGGAGCTGTCTTCCTGGCGTCGGTAGCATTGGTGCTCAGCACGGAAAACAAGATCGACGGAAAACAAATCAAAGGAAAAAAAAACTAACGGCCAAGTTGAATGATGTCACTCTACCATTCGAGAGATAGCCAGATGTGTAAAAGCATTAAACCCAGATATTACTGTTCCCAACCTCATTCAAGAAGCGGACCATAAATACAATAATTCAATTCACTCTTTTATTAAAAATACTCCAAAGAATATCTATATAGGAGAGCATAATGAGAATGCAACCTTTGATGAAATTGCTAGATCAAGAGATAAAAATAACGACAAAGTACTGAATTTATATAAAATAATAAAATATACGATAAAATTGTACCAAAAACCTATCAGCCTTATGAACCAGGCACATACGCATACGAAAAAACTCACTCCCATAATAAAAGATAAAGAAGGTAGAATATTATCAAAGTAAAAGAAGACAATAGCACATACATAATCGATTCAAATAATAGGAAAATACACAAATGCAACTTAAGAAAAAACACCAACGAATAACTAAATTCCATATCTTTTCAGACTCGCCCTCTGCGTGTCAGCCGCTCATGCAAGAATCCAAATACACGACTTAACCAATAATCCTTTGGCAATCATACCACTAGGAGAAGCCAAAGTAAAAATTGGATGCATTCGCATCATTCACCCCATCGACCATATTCAAATAGGCAATACGATAGCAAACGTCAATGACGATATACAAACTAATCCATTTACTAACCCTCTTTACAAACTAATTCAAATAAAAAATTATTAACTATACGAAACATTCATGAAGATTAAACCAATTGTTAAAAGATTAAAAAGATGGGATACAATCGGGACAGTTTGGAAGTGGATCGCTGGCAGTCCGGATGCGGAGGACCTTCGACTAATCAACTCTTCTATGAATTCACTTATTCTACAAAACAACAAACAAGTCTTTATAAATGAGGCGATTGATAAACGCATACAGGAAATAACAGACATCACAAACCAAGTTTTAAAAATTGAAAATGAACGATCGAATTAAATCAACTTATAATTTTATCTAATCTTGATTCGCTACAAAATCAAGTTGAGACTCTCGAGGAAGCCATACTCATGGCCAAGCACGGCATACCCAGCAGTAAGCTGCTATCCATGTGCGACTTCAACAAAATTGCGACATTTCTAGGATCTCATGAAATATACTTCACATCTTTTGAGGACCTTCTTTCACAATCCAGAGCCCAAGTCATGCTAAATAACACCCATATTATTTACATGCTGAAGGTACCCCAGATAACGACCAAAACTTTCGAATACGACTATATTGACTCAATCATTAAGTCAATGAAACGTATCTCACTAGACAAGAACTACATCATAAGAAATGCGACGCATGTTTACAAAATGGATCAACCATGCGAAGAGGAGAATGACTATTTCTTATGTGAGAACTCGCAACTCGAACACGTAAATGAGTGTATTTACATATTAACTACTGGACAGCACTCCAATAGCACATTCGAAAAAGTCTACTCTGGAGGACTCGTAAAAATGATCAACGACGAGACCACGGCCGTCGTGGAAGTTACGTCTAACTGCACTAACTCTAGCCAGCCGCTGAACGGATCATTTCTCATACAGTTTACGCAGTGTAATCTTCACATCAACGGAGAACTCTAATCAAACTACGAAATTGCCTTACCCGGAAAACCATACTTCCCGACCACAGGACTACGAGCGGACGAGATTCACGTTATAGACATCCCACCTGTCGAATACATCCAAAATTTAACTATGGAACACCGTGAGAAAATACAACTACTGAAGCTAGAAAACAACTCCTTGAGCTGGAAACTCAACTTATTCGGATCCTTTGGACTCTCAACAGTATTTATGATCATTAGCTCAATAGCAATCTTTTGGTACTTTTTCAGACGAAAATCGAAGTTCACCTTAACTGTCAAATTCAACAAAGAACCGGATACCATCACGATAAAGGAGCTGGAGCCATCATGAATATCAACAGAAAGCAAGTCGCTTATCAGCAATCCAGAAGAACTATCAGAAGAAAGGACAAAGGAACTTCAAGCATTTTTTTTTTGATACACCCGCACCACTAAGAACCCTCCATATGTAACTTTGAGGACAAAGATACTTAGAGGGGGAGGAGTTAGTAACAACGCGACCCGCTTCATTACTTAGCAGATTCCCACCATCACACCAGATCCCAAACAATAAACACTTTCATCGATTAGCCGATTCAGCTAATTGTATGCCAAGCCAGACGATAGTCAGATTGGATCACTTTCACTGGAATCACGACGATCACCGATAGCATGGTGTCACCAGACCACCCAACAGGAGAATCACCAGAACGCATTAGCAGCGTTTGAAGAAACAAATAAACACCCGCATTGTTCCCACACTCGATACTAACCAAGAGCTAACTTCGTAGCATAAGTTGAATTTGTAAATTTGTCTTAACCGATCACTGAATAAAAGTGAAGCATAGCTCCAAGAATATATTTTTTTGGACTTCCTTAAAGGGAAATCCTTAACTCGGTTTGTCGTTCTTGAATTGTTGTTTTACCAGTTTTATGTATGACCACAAATTCTCTCACTAGCTTCACTTTTGAGTAAACAATGTATTCAACCGCGTAGTCAACCTTAGCAACGATTGGTAAAACGTCAACACTCAACAGTGATGCCGTTTTAAATTATATTGTTTTTTTCCTACTTGTCAAAGTGTGCCCTATCATGCCAAACAGTGTGCCATGCTGTGTTTTGGCACAGTGTGCAGAGTTGATTGCCACTTGAGTTTGACACAATTTTCTAACCGTAGGAGTGGTGGGGCACCCCAAGGATATTATTGTTTGATATGGTAAAAATCAGTGTATTCTCGCTACCACTTTATCGATACTTTCTGTAATTGACATAATAGTGTTAAATAAAGCATATTCTTCCAGGAAGTTCCCCATTCATTCCAACAAGTCTTCCAGTGTGACGAATGAAGAAGCGAACAATGTTTTTTTATTCTTTTGCCTTTGGCTAGTTCATCTCCGGAAGCGGGCATTGACATACTAAACAGTCTAAGCTGACAAAGCTATTTTTGTAGTTTGAGTTTTATTGCCCTACTGTAACAACGATGTAGCTTAACCAATTAGTTAGAATTTGTTCATAAATGAACAAACGAAAACAACATTACTATCCATAGCTGCGTTTCTCTTCAGTGCCAGTAGCTTACGCATCGCTCTGAAGCACTCGTTGTGAATATTATTCGGCTGCGAATCAAATCGCTATCGAATGCATCACCCAAGTCTTCGAGCAGAAGTAAGCAGCTGGTGAGTGGCGAATGTTTGATGGCAAAATGTAGTAAAGCAGTGAATAATAGCGAAGATGAGAGGGAGCAACACCGAAAAAAAACGAACCATTCACGCAGCACTGTATTCGTACGTAACGAGAGCGATAGCATCAAATCGCTGATGAGCAGCAGACAATGCGATTCGTTGTGTATATTAGTTTTCAACTAGCAATAATCGCACCTCGGTTGTACCTCATTGGTTACGATATCGCCACTGCGCAAAGTTAATTCGTTGTGTTTCGAAAGAAATTCCGGGAATTTCAAGAAAGTCTAGAGAACCTTTGGGTAGTTCAAATAATTTAATGGAAACTGCTGGAACTTTAAAGGACAACTCCGAGAGGTTCATGAAACTTTTGGAAACGTAAGGAAGTTACGTAAACATAAGGAAAATTTTGAGAAAATTTTAGGAGAAGCTCCGTGAGAAATCATCGAGAGAAGACATTGTTTACAGATGCTGTTACGCCCTTATTCTAGCTGTATCTATAATTATGAGAAATTTCAAGAAGGTCGAGTTTGAAATTCATTTTTTATTTTTGCTATTTGGCCAGGAAATTCTAATGCGTAGTTTATTTAGTCAGTCTCAAATGTCTTGGAAATCTCTACGGAGCCGAGTGTATAATTATTAGACTGATGAAAAATTTGAAATTATCGTTCCACAGTTTTCAAACGGCTTCAAATCGGGTCCTGATTAGCCCCCAAAAGTTTAAACTCATTTGATAAGAAACTTACTTGGCACAAACTATTTGAAGTTTAAATGGAAATTACTATGGGAAAACAAAACTTTTTGTTCATTGTCTTCTAGCCTTTTTACATATTGTACTGTTAACAAATTCTATTGCTATTCTTATGGAAATTTTCATCAACTACAACTTTGCAGAAAATCGTTTTTCAGCCAAATGTTAAATTAAATAGTTATTAATTGTTTAAGAGATTGATAATCTTATGGCAAGATTAAACAACTGTATTGTGGGCAACACTGTATTATGCAGTGTGACATAGTAGCCATGATTTTTGCCCTCTATTCTACGCGCCATCAACACCAATGTTGCCTGCTGAACAGTTGATTGAGCATAATCATAAAACATCAGTGACTTGAATCATTAATCATTTTTGTTCCTTGCATTTGCTAGAAAAGTGGTCTTCAACAAAATTGTAGATGAGAAAATTTTAAATATACGCAGCTATCATTTTTTAAAGTAAAGTGAACTGGTGAATTTTGAGATAGATATGAACCGAAATTATGGTTTCTCCCTAGTAATTCCCATATAAATTTCAAATGGTTTGTGCCAAGTCAGTTTCTCACTAAATGAGTTCAATTTTTGGGAGGCTAATCAGTGCCCAATTTGGAACCGTTTGAGCACTGTGGAGTGGAAATTTCAAATTTTGCATCAGTCTAATAATTATATAAGTGAATCATTGTGAGATCTATTTCTTCCTAGGCCGTGACTTGCCTTTTGTATCTGCATAATTCTCAAATAAGAAAATGAGCTTTTTAGCAATTTTTAAGATAAAAACCTCAACGCAGTGCAAACTGTGACTGTGAGAACACTCAAATACAGCATATATTTCAACGTAAGCAGCCAAGTCCGTGTACGTGTCAGACAAGGTGTCAACTAGCCGAAATATTTAAATTGCCTGCCGCGTGCTAACTTTCGCACTTTTCTCCTCCAACTCTGGGGAATTTATCAACAACACTAATGAAAGGCACATCACGCCGGCGAAGACGCAGACCGCTCAGCTTTGGACCCACCGCCACCGGATACCTACATGTGTATATTTTAGTTGACGAAAACTTTGTCCTCCCCTCATAGAGCAGAGTACGTGTAGGTGTGGGTGATTGAGTGGATTTCTGCGTGGCGTGACTTGACGACGTCGGTAGCAACTCGGGGGAAAAGTTTTTCTTGGCGCGGAAAAACTTGTGTGCAAATTCAATCAAAGTCCCTGGTAGAACAGGATGTTCTTCGTTACTTGTTCGCTGTGTGTATGTGTTGGATGACGAGGGATTTGAATATTTAGAATAGTAGTTTTCCCTCCGCGCTGTGCGGATGGGAATATTTTAACAAACTTTATAATCTTACATGTATGGAAGCACAAAGAAGCAGTACCGGAGCCATCTTTGGGGAGTTGGCCTTTCCTTCTGGTTAGAAAAAAAATTCTACAAAGCTCCGAGGGTTGGGGGGAGGGGGAATGCCGCTGGAAACCGTTCGACAGAAAATCAATTGCTATAAACTCCCCGCCGAGCTTCTGCTGGCTGTTGAAAGTGCAGGAAATAGGTACGTAAGCTAACCAGCATGAGGAAATAATAAAAATACAAATCGAAAGAAGAGGAAATTTATGGGGTTTCTTTTCGGGAGAATGCTTTCAAAATAGGGAAACTGTTTTTTTTTTACGAATAACATGTCGGAACTCGGGGAACGAAATTCAACCGCAGCAGAAGCAAATGTTTTTCCTGGAAAATAAAAGTTTCATTTTCTGGTGGGAGTGCACTGCTGTGGCCTTGATGGGGGATAAATTTTTATCGCTGCAATTTTTCGGTTCGGTCGTGCAAATGACACTTTGGTGGGACTTTTCCGGCAATAGAACCGACATAACTATGGAACTAGTTTTGAATCAAGGGAATTATATTGTGCATGTTAAATGCCAGGAATTTGAAAACACCCTGCTTCGTTAGGTTCATGTCAAATTAATGAAGGATCTCATCATAAAGACGGCACTCACATCGGAAACTGCTGCTAACTACTGTTTGAAAGTTTGACAACCTCGCTGTAATAGTTCCGCAAAGCACTTCTCGTCTAATCCGAACGGATCAACCACGTCGAGAAATTTCACGTTCCCCAACCCAGGCAGACCGTATTTCCCCCGGGATTAATTCTAATCCGACCACACTGCAATCCCTGTCCTCGACCGCAAGCGATCAACTTTGATTGCCCAATATCAACCGCACATCCCGGCAACCAGCCAGCACATGGTTCACACGGCAAGCAAATGTATAATCGATACATCGATCCGCAATTTGCCCCGTGTCTAGTTGAGTCGGTCTGTGTGTGTATGTTTGCGAATATCCCGTCAATTGTGAACCACTTTGTACCTACCAGGAAATCAAGTGGACCGGCGAAGGAGCTGAGGTGCGAAGGATCCATCCAGCGACCAAAATTGCCACTTTATTTGGGCCTTTCTTTTTTTTTTTTACTCTGCCACACAATTTTTGCAGGTCATATCGTCCCGCTTCGCTCCCTGATGCTGACGATGGTCATTAGGACACATGACTCGTCCCCGAACCGGACCGGATAATGGGCGAGTGTGGATGATGATGAGACCGGGACCATATGAGACCGAGCACCATCACCGCAAACGAGCTCCACGCCAACTGGAAGAATGGAAATGGGAAAAACAGAACGAGTCATTTTCCCGACCATGGAATTGTCGTCATTGTTGGATTGAAGAACTGCTGTTGGAATTAAATATTGTATACGATCCGACGCTCGTTGGGTTCTTTCGTCAGTCAGCTGTGGTGTGTCATTCAGCTGTTTTGTCACTTTGTCGCTGCTATTCTCGGTGTGATTCGATTCCGTTCCGTTCCGTTTATCTCATCACGATGGCAGATGGCAGAAACGATAATGGCGATGCTCTGGTAAATTTATAAGGATGAAGGAGATTATCTTGTAATAATGGCTATTCGTTGGCTTTGTTTCACACCATAAATCGGATTTTACTGATGATGGTGCTTTATGCGGTCGTTGTGTAAAACTAGCACTAGGGGAAATTGGAAAATTTAACGCTACCCATTTTCATAGTCTTCCCCTTGAATCAAGATTGGATTAATGGAAATAGATGTCACTGTTTACCAAGTGTAACCCAAGAACCAAAAGCGGTGCGATGCTAGTTTTCATTGCCATGACGACGACTGAATTAAGAGGCTTAGAAGCAGAGGGGTGAAGTCGATTCTCTTCATGATGACCATGGCTTCACTAACCATATTTCGCACTATTTCTGCTGTGCTCTTCTATCATCCAGAACAACAAACGTATCAATTAATGTGTTTGCCGTCGAGTTATTAACGAAACAGAAAGTCGATGAAGAGAATCGATCAAAATCACTTGAACCCCTGCTTCCAAGTTTGGTTACAAGATTACAGCTCTGGAGAGCATTTTGCGTGGTCGTTGGGGCCGTATGGTTCTGAATATGGCAATTATGAGTGTACAAAATGTTACGCAATTGCATCCTTCCTATTCGCTCACGCCCGAAGATCGGAGACGAATGCCACTTCGAGTTGTTTCGTCTACTCTCTGATGTCAGTGTTGGGGAAGCAGCAATGCTGAATCAACAAGTTTCGTCTAGAAACGATTCTCTGATGACTGTGTTGGGGAATGTGCATGTACGTAATTGGTGAATTTGTTAGTCATCTCGACGCTTTTGGACAATGCTTGACATTTACCAATTTTTCATTAGGATCTTGGTAAAAAAAAAAGCTACAGTTAAAAGCATTGCTATTGATGCGTAGAAGTATTTCTGATTGGTTGGTGATAAAATCATTGAAATTGGTCCGGGGGCAGCTGAGTTAATAACGTTAAAAATCTTTCATAATTTCGTTACATGTTCCATTTTTGGTTTTCACAAAGTGTATCCCCATATAGAAATCACAGACGTAGTTCTGCGTTAAAAGTTGAGGGTTGTGTCCTAGACACGACCGCATTGTTGACGTAGAACTACGAGATTATTTTCCTGTTCCATTCAATAATAAATAAATGACAAAATAAATGGTGGTGAAACCCTTGATCTTTTCCACGGAACTATCATTAGAATTTACATGAAATTATTTTTCTAATTCCCTCAGAAATCAATACTCTCGGAATTTCTTTGAAGTTCTCATAAGAACTCTATTTACATTATTCTCGGAATTTATTTAGAATATTCATTACAAATTAACCTGTAATCCTCTTAACAATCGTCATGTAATTTCACATAGAACCACCTAATAATTCTACTTCGAACTTAAACAATTCACTGGGCGTTGAGGTCAAAACTTTATAAAAATACTTCCAAAAATTACATTGGAATTGGTAAGGTATTAATTATTATCTCTAGAATTCATTCTAAAATTTCCCCTAAATTCCATTGGAATTTTCATCAATATTAACGAATAAGTTCCTCAAAGTGATTGTACCCGGAAAATCTAATAGTTGAGAAGATAATTATTTTCCAAAGAAGGGACGAAGTATATTTTTC